CTAAATTAAACGCAAAAAAAAAGTTTTGCATGAAATAATTCTCATACTAAGTACTTTTGCATGCACAACAGCACAAAAACATGACAAAACAGTGACACAGCAAAGACGAAGTGCTGCTCTTGCTGTTTTCAAAGGACGCAAATGAAGGTTGGGCTGTTTGTCTGCATTGCACGCGAACCATATCCATATCCACAGACAACCATATCCATGCTGGCACATAAAACCTAAGGATGGTCCATATTGAATCTAGTTTAGTTATGTAACTATTTATAGTATAGTAAATATTTAAATCTATTTTATTTACTGAGGATTTGCACCATGTTTATTTGGACTTTGACACATTATTTATTATTTTCTTATTTTTTTATTTTTTATTTGTTCATTGTAAGTGGTGTTGTTTATAGTAACTAAAAATATATTATTTGGAAAAAGTCAAATTTGCTTCAGTGTTCTGTTATTTTGTAAAAATTTTTTTTGTTTAGTTCATTCCCAGAACTTTTGGGCAAATACATTGTCAGTAAATAAATGAATCTCCTCTGTAAATGTTGGAGTGTATTGGCTCAGTTACAGTGACATTAAGCGGGACACACTGTACAGTTTCAGCATTTGAGCTGAGCAGAGAAACTTCTTCCTCCATTTCTGCTGAAGAATCCTACAATATCAGGTCAGGAATAGGGTTGGGGATTGAAGATGGATTCAGATTCTGGACTCAGACACTTGGATTAATGTTCAGACTCTTGTTCTAAAATCAACATCTGGATTCCTTTTCTCTGTGCACACATGTGTATAGTTTAGAGATGGACTGCAACATGTGCTCAAAGGCTGCATGTGCTGAAGAACGATGGCAAAGCTAAGTGTGATCACTGTAATAAATGAATGTTGCAGCAGGGTGTCTCCATCAACATGAGCAGTATCTGCGCTCGCTTCACCAACAGCAGAGGAAAAGAACGCACTGTGTTACATTCATTGTGCATCCCGGCTCAACCAACAAGTGTTGTGTGTTTTAGCTCAAGAGTTTGGAGCGTGTAGCTGAGCGGCTCAGTGCTAGCTTTAGCTTTTTAGCTGAGGGGGAAACTAAACAGCTCATTCTCTCCATCTGTGTGTGTTTACAGTCTGGATCATGGAGGACACACGAGGATTACAGCAGGACCACGCAAAAGTAGGACTACACACACACACACACACACATATACACATACACACACTCTCTCTTTTTCTGTCTCTCTCAATCACACACACACACACACACTCTCTCTCTCTCTCTCACACACACACACACACACACTCTCTCTCTTTCTCCCACACTCACACACACACTCTCTCTCTCTCTCAATCACACACACACACACTCTCTCTCCCACACACAAACACACACATACACTCTCTCTCTATCTCTCTCTCACACACACACACACACACACACACACACAGAGCTGTGGTTATAAATGTGTGTGTTCTTGTGTTCAGATGCCTGTTTCCTCACTCTGGATCCAAACACAACATACGCTTTTCTCATTCTGTCTGAGGAGAACAGAGAGGTGAAGACTGTGAGAGAGTATCAGTTGTATCCTGATCATCCAGACAGATTTGATGGTATTTATCCTCAGGTGTTGTGCAGAGAGAGTGTGTGTGGACGCTGTTACTGGGAGATTGACTGGAGTGGAGATGATTATGTGGATATATCAGTGTCATATAAGAGCATCATGAGGAAGGGAGTAGATCCTGAGTGTGTGTTTGGACGTAATGCTCAGTCCTGGAGTTTGTGCTGTGATTCCTCCAGTTTCACATTCTGGCACAATGACACAGACACTCGTCTCCCAGTGAAGCCGCTCAGCAGGAGAATAGGAGTGTTTGTGGATCACAGTGCAGGAACTCTGATCTTCTACAACATCTATAGAGACACAATGAGCCTCATCCACTCAGTCCAGACCACATTCACTGAGCCGCTCTGGCCTGGGTTTACTGTTTGGTGTCAATCATCAGTGAAACTGTGCTGAAGACTGAGCAGGAGCAGTCAGTAGCAGTGTGTGTGTGTTTGTACATGCGTGTGTGTGTGTGTGAAAGAGAGAGAGAGAGAGAGTGTGTGTTTGTTTGTGTATGTGTGAAAGAGCATGTGTGTGCGAGTGTGTGTGTGTGTGTGTTTGAGTGTGTGCATGAGTGTAATTTTGTCTGTGTGGGATTTTTTTTTTTACAAAATTACTTTATTACTTCATTTTTTATTTGACACATTGTAACTCCACAGCAGATGTAACAGCAGCTCTCCTACCTCCACACTGCAGACAGCGTCCTCGTAACAGCACTGTTGTTCAAAGGTTTCAGCATCATTTATGTCCTTGTAATACTTCAAATCTATTTTAATTCTGGACCTGACGAACGCTTTAAAACTCTCAATCTCTTGACCATGTACATCAGGGGTGTCAAACTCAATTCCTGGAGGGCTGAAGCCCTGTACAGTTTAGTTCCAACCCTGCTCCAACACACTTACCTGTAGGTTTCAAAAAAGCCTGAAGGACTCGAATTAGTTTGATCAGCTGTGTTTAATTAGGGTTGAAACTAAACTGTGCAGAGCTGCGGCCCTTTTGGAACTGAGTTTGACACCTGTGATGTACATCATCTATTTAGTTTCTTCTTGTGATAAGTAGAGCAAGTTTTGCTTGAGCAGCTGAACAGTGAATGAACGTTCGAGGTTACAGAAGTAACCCTTCGTTCCCCGAGGAGGGGAACGGAAGTGCCATAGAGTGGATGAAATCCACAAATGGGAGGATTCGGACCAGAAGCCGCTTGTCTGGAGAGTATTGAACAGGCCAATGAATGAAATTATTTAGCAGCGTAAGCTTGCGCAGGTGTGCTGCATCGGCAATTATCCCAGCATATAAGCACACCTGAAGCCAGCAGACGCCATCCTTTTAAGCTGAAGAGACTTTCAAACAGCTAAGGGACAGTCATTATGGCGACGGAGTATGGCACTTCCGTTCCTCTCCTCGGGGAACGAAGGGTTACTTCTGTAACTTCGAACGTTCCCCTTTGGTTGGGGAACTTCAGTGCCATAGAGTGGATGAAATCCACGAATGGGAGAAGTATGGAAAGCGCCATAATGACTGCACCTTACCAACGCCCCCGATGAGGGGATTGTCAAGCAAGCGTGACGCACCCACATCATGGGAGGCGCGGTCCTCCAACGTGTCCCTGGCCCTAATTTATCCTACTTCAACAGAAGTTTTACGGATTTAGATATATTTTTTAGGGTCGTGAGCATCTAGATAATTCTAGGAAATACGACAGTACGTTGGGAAGCGTGCAATCCCGATAGGGAGGACGCTGTGGAGGCCATCCATTACCCAAGGGGGGATAGATGGCAGAATTACATATGGACTAGCCCTAAAAAGGGGGAGTACGCATAGCAAAAGAGTGGTTAGCGGAGAGGGAAGACACGGGTCCACCCAGGGGGGGACTGAACCGTGGCGGAATAAGCATATGGGATCGCCTAGTGGGGATCACACATAGCAGGCACCTATACCCAAAACGCGGGCTGACCAGTGGGCAGACCTACAACGTAGTGGGCCAGCAAGTGACTCCTCCGCTGAGTCAGTGCCGAGGGCCACGGAGGAATCTGCAGGGCTCACCTGACGGGGAACTTTACTGACAGATAAAAGGGCGCACGTATCTCCGTGTTAGGGAAAATGGCGCAGCAAGCGTGTCTCAACACCCTATCGAGCTGTCTCCTCAATCACCAAGGGGTTACCTAATACCCTTAAGGAAACCGGCTCCACTCGCAGATTGTAAAACCTTGCAAATGTGTTGGGTGTCGCCCAGCCCGCAGCTCTACAGATGTCTGTTAGAGAGGCGCCGCGTGCACGCGCCCAAGAGGATGCAACGCTCCCGTCTCCACTGACGGGATTGCCTCATACCCCCTGGCAGCTCCGCCGTCAAGGGCGGTGAGGGCGGAGGTACACGCAGCACGGGCAGAGAAAGGTGCCCTCCAAGACTGCGTGAGCCTACTGTGCACTTCCGGGAAGAAAGGGACGAGAGGCTTCGAAGGCTTCGCCTTCTGGTCCTCTACGTAACACCCATCTAGTCGGTCCGGCCGCGGAGCTGGGGGATAAACCATCTCCAACCCCACGGCCGAAGCAGCCCGGGAAAGCACGGCTAACATGTCTGCTTCAGGATCCTATTTGACAGCGCTCACCTGCCCGGAGGGGGCGAGCGGGTCCGGATCTTCGTCGGACAGTGAAAGCCCACCCTCCGATGCCGCAGAGGACATCTGATCTCCGGTGTCAGCGAGTGTGAGAGCTACCATCTGGTTAGACGGATCACTCCCACTACCCGAAGCTTGGATGGAGCGCCATGAGGAGCGAGAGGTCCGCGAGCCCGTGGGCGGCGGATTATCTCCCGCTGGAACCCTCAGATCTGCCCGAGCGCCCGCTGCTTTTTTAGAACAGGAGACAACTGGGGTGGCTCGCTCTCTTGCGAAAGTTAGCCGCAATCTTAGCTGTGCAACGGTCATGGCATCGCAATGACGTCATGAACCGCCCGCGAGCACCGCATTAACATGCTGGACCCTCAAACAAAAGCAATGCAGTGATCGTGTCCATCATCGGGAAACCCCCGCATCCAGAAACGCACAGTCAGAGCGCCATCCTGAAAAGGACATGCTGCACGACTGTGTTGCTCTTTTAGGAAAGTTTGCAACAATACGCACCGCTCTGGAGGACCGGACCCAAAGAACCGCAGGCAAGGGAGAAACCCAGCTCGACCGTCTGCCACCGCGAAGACCAACTCTGGAACGGGAGACACACTCGTTCGCTCTGAAGTGCTGAACAGCAAGAGGAACCCTCATCGACTCACTCAGAAAGGATCTGAAGCGAAAAGGATAGCGTCTGCTGGCTTCAGGTGCGCTTATATGCTGGGATAATTGCCGATGCAGCACACCTGCGCAAGCTTACGCTTCCAATTAATTTCATTCATTGGCCCGTTCAATACTCTCCAGACAAGCAGCTTCTGATCCGAATCCTCCCATTCGTGGATTTCATCCACTCTATGGCACTGAAGTTCCCCAACCGAAGGGGAACTGCTATTTCAGTTTGTGTTTCTAACTATAGCCAGCTCCAGAAGAAACTTACATTGAGTCAAATTCTGTCCACATTTCAGGAAAACGTTGCTCAACATATCAAACTATTGTGTTAAACGTGTACATTCCAAAGAGCAATGATCCACAGTCTCTCTATGTCCACAGAAGAGACACTCGTCATGGACACTAGAGTGAACAACACGTATGAAATCATTCACTGCCACAATCCCCTGCAGAATCCTCCATTGTAAATCCCCAACACATTTTGTCAAAGGTGGTTTATACAAAACTCTCCATACTGGTTTTCCCTTTAAAGTATCATGAAATATCCATTATTTCTGTTAATCTGCCTTTGTCACCTCTCTGATCTGTAATAATAATAATAATAATCATAATATTAGACATTTGTTTGGACATGATGTGCTCTCTTCAACAAGCAGCTGTTTTCTTCATTCTGCAGGCTGTTCGCTCTGGCAGTTGATCAGATATTTGCAAGTTAGCCTATAATAAAAAGCAGAGTTATTCTGCAGTCAGGTGATGTGCTCCATCAGGCACAACAATCTTGATAGTATCTTGTAGTGTGCTGTACCGCAGCTTTCATATCTTGTAGTAACATATTTTTAAAAGTGTACTGATTATATTTTAAAATATAGCCTACATAAATAGGCACAATTTAAACTTTCAAAACATCATGTTTTTCCCACCTTGGGCATTAAAGCCTTTATATTATTTTCTCTTTTATTCTTAATTGGGCAGCCATTATTCTCAACCCTGTAATGGTAATAATGAGTTGGTAATAATAGTATTTTACAAAGCTTTTGCTATAAAACCAACATTTCCCTGTTGCTCACATGTCCCTCAAATCAGTTTAATGGCTAAAATATCACATTTTTAATGAGTTTTAGATTAATATGTGATTTAAGTTACAATTATACATACTTGCGCATTCTGTGGTCTCTTAATTTTTAAAAAGTTTTACATTTAGATGTCTTACCCCACCCACATAATTACAATGTTAGGCCTTAACATGCTGGTTGGTTCTCAGTAATATTTTTTTCTATATTTAATTGTTTTCCTTTAAAAATATGAATCTCACAGGGTGGAGAATACAGAGACGGGGTTAAGACCATAACAGGGTTAAGAGGACACGTAAATTTCAGTTTTGATTTGTTTTAGTTCATTTGAAATTACATCTAACACTTACTCAAAATTTATTTTAGTAAAACATTTAGCAAAGGCATTAATGAGATAATGATAATGAAACTTCATTAAACCAAACCACAGTCAGAATTCAAAAAATTGAAGTGCTGCAGGTAACTGGACTGTTAGTAACCTTTAAAAATGCTGATAAAGGCCTGTGTTACCCAATCTATTGCTGAACAGAACCTACAGTAAACAGAAGCAACAGGTAAAGTCTTGTCTAAAACTTTATTTCCTGGAACATAAATAAAAACTGCAGCAGAAAAGTTCTTAATGAAATTGTTAATGAAAATACTTAATAATATTAATAAAAAAATTTAATTATATAGCCAGATAGGCTGGTCTGCTTATTTCAGAAACTGCTGATCTATTGGGATTTTCACACACAACAATCTCTAGGAGAGAAAATTATATAGTGAGCAACAGTAACTGAAATAACCACTCGTTACAACCGAGGACTGCAGAGGAGCATCTCTGAACACACAAAACTTCCAACCCTTAGGTGGATGGGCAGCAGGAGGGGATTCAATCAGGGATTCCAAAACCTTTTGTTAGCCTAACCCTCTGTATCTATAATATTAATATGAGTTATGCCCTCAATGACCCCCTCTCTAAAGTTGGGTAATTGTCACATGACATAGAGATAAACAAATGAACTAATACATAATTTAAGTATTTTTTTGTTCTGATTTTATTAGCTTTACATAAACTCATGATGAAACTTGTGACACTCAATATAAAATCTGCTGCTGGTACGGGTGCCGTGTCTGACATTAAATAGTGTCAAAGTTTAAGTAAAACACAGATTCAAATATTCTATCAGTAACAAATTTTTTTTTATGTTTTTTAATGAATATTCCTGATTAATTAGGTGAATATACCCAAAACAATGACATGTGTGATGGGGTTGAGTTTTTAAAGCAGAATGTCCTCTGCTCCTTGTGTGGTTTAAAAGAGAATGCCCACATGGCAGCAATTAAACAAGAATATGTTATATTGTTTGGAAATAAAAAAAACAGTCATATTCCATCTTAGTTTTACGTTACGGGGTTGAATTGTTAAGCTTGACCGCATCCTTCCTAACTATAATAAAATCAAAAAATGTAAATAAATGAAAATATAGCTTCTTTTGCACCATCCTGAGAAAGAGAGCTGAATGATGTCACTTTCCGTCTGGATGTCATATAAGAGTAGACTCTGAATTGCTGTAGGTGGAGAATTGCTGGTGTGACAGGGTTGAGTTTATATTGATGGACATAACTTTGTAGCCTGTTTTTTATTAAAAAAATCTTTATTTTTTTATTTATCACAAGTAAATAACACAAATAAATAGTTGTAATACTAAAAAAAAAATTAAACACTGTGTCTACATGCAATTTCAAAGAAGTGCCTCGGGGGCATGACAAATAGCTTGGTTTGTGACAGACAAATTATATTTTTTATGCTAAAGCTGCATTTAATGTATTTTTTTATTCATTATAATGTACAAAGTAGATCAATGAAAAATGCTTTTAACATGTAATTTAAGTCGACAACCACTATAAAAAAATATGGGGGACTGAAATATTACAGAACGCCAGGAATGACTTAATTATATCTAAGATAATTTTGTAAAACAATATGTTTTGTTAAATGTATAATGTATAAATAGTTCCATCACATCAGCTGAGGCAAAAAGCAATAATGCAGCCATTTCTTCTTGTAGTGTTGATATGGCTGTTTTGAAAGAATTTGTGTGAAAGGCATCAGGAACTTCTGGGAACTGCACAACTCTGTGTAATGTTTTCACACTTCCATGTGTCGATTTTATTTCTCAATCATTTTTACATTTATTAATTTTATCAGCCTTCATTGTGATCATTTTCTCTTTATTGGTTATACCTCACAATCACAAACACTCACAACTGGTTCCATTCTTTTGAATTGTGTGGGTTATTGAGCCAGGCTTCCATTCGATTCCTGATTTTGCTCCGCGAGCAAAGGGCAGGAGTGGGCGTGTCCAGCAGGGGAGAAGGAGGGCAGTGAACAACTCTTGTCAGTTAGCTCACAGAATGAAATGCGTGATTTTATAGTTTATAAAGTTAAAATGCAAAGAAATAAACAGTAATGTAATGCCCGGCTACATTTGTTATTCGTAATTTCATATACACTTAACCACAATTTATATCATTATAAAGATAATCATGTTCATATAAACTCTATAATTGAAGACTTTTCCCTTAATCCCCTTGTCTGAACCATAGGTCTGAATGCAGGCTCAGTGCAGCAGGCCTCTTGCCCTGTCTATTTCAACCATTAGCCCTGTTGGTAATCTAGAGGATTTAGGCGAACACAACAGCACGGCGATGTGTCTAAATGTGAACAAACTCCTGATAAAAGACAATGTCCGCCATTCTCCAATTCTCGTACTGCTCTTCCGTCAAAAATGCTTGCTGCACACACAGCTTTGCTGTATTGGCCCTGACAGGATCTTAGGGAAAAACATGCAACAAACACTGTGGATCATGATAACAAACACATACGAGCCTTCATAAACGGTGTGATGGTTGATGGGTCAGATGACATTAATCATGTGAGACACAAAAAATCACTGATGTATTCTGATATTCCTATGCGTAAAAGTACAACTCTTAACGATGAAATGAAACGTAAGAGAAAGGAAAGGCGACTCCGACAGAGGGCGCGCCGAGCCAACAAATCAGCTGGACGAACTCTCTGTGAACCCCTTGCTACTTCAGATGACCCTCTTGTTAGTAGTCGAACTCTGAATGAACTCCCAACTTGTACTTTTGCTGAACTCTCTACCGAGTTCACGCACCTGAATTTAAGTGCATAACTATATAGCACATTATAAATCAAGGCTTATATTAAAATGCCTAAATGTTGATTTATATGATACAATGTACTCTTAATGACTATATATCTGTCTTTTTACTGTTCAAGTGATTTAGCATGCTCCTTGAATGTATGATTTAAGTAGTCTGTGCACCTGTGTTTAGGGTTGATGTATGAATACTGTCACTGAGACACTGAGTATAAAAGCTGACATGTACTCTTCAGCTTTGCGCTTCCTGACTTCTGTTCATTGAGGTTGGTCGCCCTTTGTCTCTAACGGGAGGCAAAGTAAGGATTTCTTGTTTTCTGTTTGTCTTTTGTTTATTCTACTTTTTCACTGGATTTTATTTTATTAATAAAAGTGTATTTTATTATTTTTCTTCACTGGAGTGGACATTGAATTCATTTTCCAGAACCCATCTAAGTTACCCTGTGTGGTAAAATATGCTCTAATTTATTCTTTTGCAAAATACATTCTTTAAAGACGATCCTTTAACTAAACTCTAGCAAAGAAATATAGCGAAGGGAGGATCCTGATCTTAACTTTGTTTAATTAGAGTGATTAAATAAAGGGAAATCATGGAGGCCCCAGGCGAGGAACGTTTATATTTTTGCGAAAAGAGAATTAGATTAAGAGAGAAAGTAGGGGACGCCCGAAAAAGAAATCTCTCAAACAAGTATAGAATAAAGTGCACATAGACCTAAAGAAGGATCTATATTCTATACGAACAAAAACATGACTGAAGCTTCGGGTATTCAAATCCATCTTATCTCAAATGAGGAGTTGAAAACGCGTAAAAAGGAGAATCCTTTACATGTTTCGCCTCAATCTTGTACAATAGGTAATTGTGTTTACATAGGCGTACACGATCGAGAAAATAACTGGCTGGAATTGTTCGACGCTATTGATAAAGCTACGGGTACAGGTGAACAGGTAGAATTAATTCTACATAACCATAAAGGTCCCGTACAATTCCCAGAGCGATTCAGAGGACGGATAAAAGTGTTAAAGAATAACACAACCGTTAGCCCTGAATTCCATGCTGAATCAGAAGATGAGAGAGCTGGTTCAATTCTGGGCGAGCAGGCTCATGCCGCCGCTCCATACAGGTCGGAAGTTACCTTTTTGCCTTCGCAAAGAGACAAAGAACCTGAGACTGATCGACAGATTCAGTGGGGTCCATCTACTAGTACACCGTATGATGAAACCCTAATGAGAAAAGCGAGAGCAAAAACAAAACATGGCCCTTTAAATCCTTTAAAAGCTGCAACAAGTAGGATTCACAAAATGAGTCCTTTAAGAAAAGACAGCTCGAGCGACTCGTCATCAGAAGAAGATAGAGTTCTCCAAATAAGGGGTAGGATCAGGCAAAAGAATGCCAGGCCGAGCTCAAAAGACAGAAAAACATCAGCTCATGTTGATGGGCGCTTTATTGAAACAGGGAACAGGAGAGTTACCATTCCCAAGGGGTTTAAAATAAGCTGAAAAAGGTTGAGGGCAACACGCGTTCAGAGCAGAAAGATAACGCTGACATGATTTACCTGGCGACAGCATGTACCGCGGATGAGATCCTTGAACGGACAGATATAAATCAAAAAGCCAAATTAGACATGGTATGCGAGCTTGCCGACGCGCTTCAAGCTTTAATCAGCAGAATAATCTGGTCCGGGATGACCGAAGACGAAAACACCTCGAGCAAATACGATCCTAAATTAGGAACAGTGCATAAGATAAGAAAGCACTTTGCTAAAAGTGACTACCAGACAATCACCGGGGGAAATAGGAGACAGGACACCCCGCTCCCGAGTGAATCAAGCGAGACTGAAAGCTCTGAAGCAACAGGCTCCTCCGATGATGAATTTTCAGTAAGAAAATCCATCATGCTGGCGGGAAAAAATAAAAAGACTAAATCTTCTCAGGTCGTTAGTGAACTAAAAGAAAGAGCCCTCTATCCGTTATCTCAGCTATCTTTTCCTGCTGAAGCAACCATTATGGATAAAGCTCAAGAAATTGTTAGAATGGGCGAAATTTATAAAGCGGATGACGATCTAATAGAAGCTATGATCGTGCATCACACGCGCAAAAGAATTGCACCCGCTACTGTAAGGTTGCAGCTAGGCACAATTCTGGGCAAGAGCCCAGAAGATGAAAGAAACGATCGCGCTGAAATGATCAGAGCGATTGGAGTTTACCCGTATTGTCTTGATAGACAGGGTAAAGTCGAATCAGTGTATGCACTGATAAGAGAACTCCAAGAAGTGACAGATTTAGTCCCTGGCTTAGCTGAAGCGAAACTTTTAGGGCCAGAAACCACGTGGGTAGAATTGTCTAATTTCGCCATCAAGTGGGAGAGGAAGAGAAGGTTAATCTCGGAGAAGCAGTCAAAATCAAAAAATAAAACTAGAGAAGTTAAGAGTAACGAGAGAGTCGTGAATAGTAACCGAAAAACTCCCCGAAATCAAGAGGAATAGGGTTGCCTGTCTCCTGGGAAAAAGGCCATAATGTCTAAACAGGTTACAGAAACGGCAGATATGAATTTAAACATAAATTACGAGGGAATATTATTTGATCTTGATACAGGAGCAGATGTTACGGTAGTAAGTCAGCTGCCTAAAGAAGCAAAAGAAACAAAAAACTCGTTTAATATCAAAGACTTTAGGGGCAATATAGAAACGCACAAAGTTTATGATTGGAAAAACTTGCAAATTATCAAAGGTGTTAATAATTTAATGACACTAAAAGATGCCAGTACAATAATAGAAAGCAAACAAATAGGTTGGTTAAAACAAATAAACCTGGAGCAGGAAATAAAAAGAATGGCCGAAACCAGCAAAGCCGACCGTACTAAAGTTACAGAGATATTAAGAAAATATCAAACTCACGCTGCGAGAAGTAAAAATGATTGCGGAAAATTATCTGATAAATGGCAGTACGAAATAAAAGGTGGTATTCCACCACCACAAAGGCAGTATCCGATTAACAAAAGCGCGTTGCCTGAAAATAAAATCACAATTGAAGAATTAAAACGAAAAGGGATAATTAAAGAAGTTGATAATGCGCCAACAAATTCCCCTATTCAAGCGGTAGCAAAACCCGATGGGGGGTGGAGGTTGGTAACAAATTATAAAGCATTAAACAAACAAACTGTACCCGATACAAGATATCTGATTAATGCAAGAGATACTACGGGCGCACAAGGATTTAAGAATTCTCCAAATGCTTTTCAAGCCATAATGATGGAAATTCTTAAAGGCCTTCCTATTGTAGTGTACATAGATGACATTTTAATCGTTACTAATGATGAAGAAGAACATCTTAAAATATTAGATGAGACCTTAAGCCGACTAACTAAAGAAGGATTCAGATTAAACTACAAAAAGATGGAAATCGCTAAAGAGGATGTTGAATTTTTAGGATTTCAAATAACTGGTAATGAATGATTCCTGTCGCAAACTACAGAAAATAAATTAAAGGAATTAAGAGGAAAAGAAATAACCACTTTAAAACAATTACAAAGCATGCTGGGCACATTAAACTTTGTAAGAGATTTAATCCCCGGATATGCTAGACATGCGAAACCTCTTTATAATGCGACTAAAGGGGGTGTTTTAACTTGGAATGAGAAACTTTCCGAAATAAAGGCTAAACTCATAGATGAAGCTTTAAATAGTGGTCGTCTAGTGAGAAGAGACGAAACCACTTCGTTAGTAGCAAAGATAGCTAATACGGAGGATGAAATTGAGATAATAATTTACAATGCGTCAAATGAAAAACACCCTGTTAGTTTCATATCCTACAGCAAGCCAGCAAACCAGAGAAAGCTGCAGAACATGAGTGGCGGCGACCTTTTTGCCACACTCGCTAAATCTTTACTAACTCTGAAAGCCCTCGCACTAGACCAGCAGATACTGGTTAAAGCCAAAGGTGAAGGAATAAATCAAATAGTAAGGGAATCAAAAAATTTAATCAGTGAAAATAAGCGCGTTCACCGTCATACGTGGGCTAAGTGGTCGTTAATCTTAAACGATACTCAGTTCAGCTTTCACTCTGACAAAATTCCTAAAGCCGAAAAGACTACCAAGGTCCCCATAGACAAAGTCTGTTATTATACTGACGGCACAACCGAGCAGGGAATAACTAGATGGGGATGGATTCGAAAGAAAGGCCGAAAAGTCACTGAGTCAGATAAAGGTAGCTTAGAGGCAGGGCTAAGCGCTCAAGCTGCTGAAGTAAAAGCATTCAGGAAAGCTTTAGAGAAAGCCAAACAGCTGAATGACCTTAAATGTTTTATAGTAACTGATAGTGATTATATCTATCAAGCTGTAGAGGAACATTTAGGTGCATGGAAAAATAATGATTTTAATACTTCCAAAGGGAAGCCATTAAAACAAGCCGACGACTGGAGGGTAATAGATGAGCTGATCACAGAAATTACACCAACAGTGTTGCATCAAACCAGCCATACGTCACAGAATACGACGGCTGCTATAGGGAATAAGGAAGTAGACAGTTAAGTACGTAGAGTACGGGCTGTTACCAAGGAAAGTCAAAAAGACTTACTTGAAAAATTACATATAGAATTAAAGCATCCTACCACGAAATATTTAGCGCTGTATTGTCATGCTTTAGGCCTAAATATACAAAACTTAAAGTCTGAGTACTATAAGATAAAAGTGAATTGTCCAATTTACAGAAAAGCAATTGATTCACGTTATAATGATAACGGATCTATAAAAACAGATCACGAGAACGAAGAAATTAGCATGGATTTTGCTGGACCTATTAGACCGCAAACGAAAAAGAAAAGTTGTTATTTTCTTTTAATCACGGACAATGCGAGTGAATATACGCAGATTTTTCCTTGTAAACGAGCTACGGAAGAAGTAGTAATTGAAAGTTTACAACAATGGTTCAAATTTAGAGGAATACCGAATCGATTCAGAGCCGACGGAGCGTATTCGATTTCAGGTCAAAAGGTCGAACAGTTTATAAAAGATTCAGGGGCTAAATTAATTAAATCCGTGAAATATCAACCCGCTAGTAACGGAATCGCCGAGAGACGAATAAAAGAAGTTAAAAATTGGTATTGTAAAAATTCTAATTTACCTTGGGACGAACAAATTATTGATTGCTTAAAATTTGTAAATTACAGAGTCCCTATACCTGAAAAGGAGGAAAATCCACCAAGAAACAGGGCCAAAATAAAGGTAGGCGACATAGTCTACATACAGAAAAGAGTCCGAGGGCATAGATTTAAAGAAAATCTAGGCACAGAAGATAAAGTTAAATCAATACCATCCAATACTACCGTAGAATTAGAAGCCAACGGTATTTGGAGTCTCAGAGACATAATAAAGAAGCCGGAATAATGGCAGACACAAACCTGACCTGTGACCTCAAATCTTGTGAAGGCCTTTATAAGCAAAAAGGCTTCATCAGAGTTATTAGAGGTTTTTCTGGACACTTAACCATTGAAAAATGGCTTAAGCCAGAATATGATAGAGCTCTGGGAAGAAAATCTGTTAGTGTACCAGGAACACCAGCTACCAGTTATAGGATCGAAGACTGCGCCGTATGTGGAAAACCTAATGTAGCGTTTAAATTAGCTGAAGGCTTATACGCAAATAGGCCGAATAAAGCAGAGTTGCTAATTCAGCATGGTTTAGGAGCTCATTTCCCGTGGTGGAATGAGTTAGGAGATATCGATGCGTGTGCTTTGCATGATGTCACCATTTGTGGTGATTGCAGAGAGTCACACCAGAAGGTCGAAATCGAACAATATGAGATAAAGCAGGATGGATGCTTATGCCGAAACTGTCAGTCATGTAAACAACGGTTTATTGCCCTAGGAAGGGAATGCCGATGTGTGTATGATAGGGAAGAATTTACATCGTGTGAAAGATGTAAGAGTTTATTCAGTTGCAAATGCTTAAAGTTAATTAGCAAAAAGCAAATATGGATGACTCGAAAATCCAGAAAGGCCCTAGGGGAAAATAGAATAATGACCATGTGGGATATAAACCCAGTATCGCTAATGACAAATGCAGATTCAAAATGGATGGCCCAAAGACTCAGAGAACTGTCCTTCTGCCCAGGGGGATTGCCAGGCGGGCAGGAGTCTTTGAACGGAAACGAGAGTTTTCGGAATGGCCTGATATATCTCACTCACTTAGGTGGATGGGAGACCGCTGTCAAGTTGCAGTTACACACGCAGGTCAGCTACAAGAGAGGTGGCTTAAGTGCATGTGTATGGGTTCTGCATGACAGTGAGTGGTTTAAGTGTGAACTTTCTGACGCTATAATAATTACAGCAAAAGAAATGACATTTAAACTGTGCATCAAAGTATGCGAACCAAAAGATGAGCCCAGTTATTTCACTGAATCAAACATCTCAGTCTATGGATCTTCACAATCCTTTAGAGAAGGGACAGCAAAACTCAAAATTATCAGATCCACACAACCATATCATTTAATGACTCGTGAACCAAGCGACGAGGATAAATCTAGGATAGAAATTCTAGATTTAACTGTTCTGTTAAATTTAATAGGAAGTTACCTGGGTATTGGAGAATGTATTCAGGGAGTAAATGTTTATCTGAATAGATCAAAAGATAAATCAGATATGGCAACAAGAAATAAATTAATACAATTGAAAAAGTGGATCTCCAAAAAATTCAGTCGAGGGACAGAATAGGATGAAACGAGTTTGTCTCTGTTCTCTGTTGCAGGAAAGCATGCAAGATATATTGGCACATAAATGGTGTTAGAGCATATTGTTGTATGGACTGTTTCATATTCAGTGGGCAAGATTTTAACAAGATCCAATATATACTTTGTTGGAGTGATAGTTATTTACAGCCTTTACTACGAACTTTAACAAGTGCTGTGGGACAGTCAATTATGCCATGGAAACCCGTTATTACTTACACGGGGCAAGGACGAACAAAGTATTATGTCCACCCCTATTGGGTTAATGGGGAAGTGTTAATGGGGGTCATGAGCTCAACCGCTAATTTGTATGTAAAACTTGCAGATCGAAGTCCTTGCCTGGATGCAGGATCAATGGGTTCTTTCCAAGTTGGAGGACATCCTATTGAGGGATCGTCTGATTCTCAGACTCCCCTGGGACCAGTTGCAGAACTTGACTTCATCTGCTCGACCCTTCTTGAGGATGAGGAGAATTGGCCGGAGACTTTTGACCTCCCTGGGACAGAGTAATTTACTAACTGTCCAGCTATCATACCAAAAAAGGGAAAAGAAGTTTAATCTTTGGTTAATGGGCTTTGATGGATGGGCTGTACCTCTAGAACATTGTATATATGGATCTTGTGTACTAGATGAATTGGATAATGATTATTTTATGTCTCAAATGAGAATGTCAAAAGGGGGTGTGATGGTTGATGGGTCAGATGACATTAATCATGTGAGACACAAAAAATCACTGATGTATTCTGATATTCCTATGCGTAAAAGTACAACTCTTAACGATGAAATGAAACGTAAGAGAAAGGAAATGCGACTCCGACAGAGGGCGCGCCGAGCCAACAAATCAGCTGGACGAACTCTCTGTGAACCCCTTGCTACTTCATATGACCCTCTTGCTAGTAGTCGAACTCTGAATGAACTCCCAACTTGTACTTTTGCTGAACTTTCTACCGAGTTCACGCACCTGAATTTGAGTGCATAACTATATAGCACATTATAAATCAAGGCTTATATTAAAATGCCTAAATGTTGATTTATATGATACAATATACTCTTAATGACAATATATCTGTCTTTTTACTGTTCAAGTGATTTAGCATGCTCCTTGAATGTATGATTTAAGTAGTCTGTGCACCTGTGTTTAGGGTTGATTTATGAATACTGTCACTGAGACACTGAGTATAAAAGCTGACATGTACTCTTCAGCTTTGCGCTTCCTGACTTCTGTTCATTGAGGTTGGTTGCCCTTTGTCCGCCAAGTGGGGACAAAGTAAGGATTTTGTTTTCTGTTTGTCTTTTGTTTATTCTACTTTTTCACTGGATTTTGTTTTATTAATAAAAGTGTATTTTATTACTTTTCTTCACTGGAGTGGACATTGAATTCATTTTCCAGAACCCATCAAAGTTACCCTGTGTGGTAAAGTATGATCTAATTTATTCTTTTGCAAAATACATTTTTTAAAGACGATCCTTTAACTAAACTCTTGCTAAGAAATATAGCTAAGGGAGGATCCTGATCTTAACTTTGTTTAATTAGGGTGATTAAACAAAGGGAAATCAGCACAATGTACATCAATATTTCTCACATATTATTGTAGCTCAGTTTGAGCTGAACACAAATAAAACACATGTTGGCTAGTACTGTGTAAAAAGTAGCTGAAATAAGCACAGATGTCAGGGCATGTCAAAACATCTCAGGGGTCCCAAAATCAACTCAGACCCCTGAGGGTTAACTACAGGTATAGTATGAGCAGTGTGAAACATAATTACTGATAAACCATACTTCCTGTTATTTGGGGTTTAGTATCATCCAGGGTTAACATGTTCAAGCATGAAGAGCTCTAATATGAAACTGTCTGACTGTAGATATTGTAGAGTGGAGAATCATTTACCTCAGTGTTTACAGTTTACAGTCTTCAGTCCATCAGAGAGAAGCTTCACTCCTGAATCCTGCAGGTCATTGTTACTCAGGTCCAGCTCTCTCAGGACACAGTTTGAGGACTGTAGAGCTGAAGACAAACTCTCACAGCACTGAACAGTGAGAATACACATGGCCAATCTGAGAACGTAGAACACACATTACTAAAAACCACACTGTTAATGTGATCAGTCTGATGTAACAAAGCAAAAAATCAATAAATTAATCAATCAATCAATCAATCAGGTGTTTAAACTCAGACCTCAGTGTCTCCAGTTTACAGTGTTGACTCTTCAGTCCATCAGAGAGCTTCTTCACTCCTGAATCCTGCAGGTCATTGTTACTCAGGTCCAGCTCTCTCAGCACATAGTTTGAGGATTGTAGAGCTGAAGACAAACTCTTACAAGAATCGGCAGTGAGTTTACATGTCATCAGTCTGAGAAAGAGCACACATTACAAAAAACACACTGTTAATGTGATTTGTCTGATGTAACAAAACAAAAATCAATCAATCAGGTGTTTAAACTCAGACCTCAGTGTCTCCAGTTTACAGTGTTGACTCTTCAGTCCATCAGAGAGAAGCTTCACTCCTGAATCCTGCAGGTCATTGTTAATCAGGGCCAGCTCTCTCAGGACACAGTTTGAGGATTGTAGAGCTGAAGACAAACTCTCACAGGACCGAACAGTAAGATAACAGCCCTGTAGCCTGTGTAGAGGACAAACACAATATGTATGTGTTCATCTGGAATGTTTAATAGTGTCAAGCACATCTCACTGTAGTGACTGGTTTAACTTCACTAGTTAGTGAGCACATCTGCTGATTTTAGCTTTAAATAGTATTTATGTCTAGAAAATACAAATGGCTTCCTTCAGATGTTCCAATAGTCCAACTCTTTATGTAACACCTAACACTGCAAAACAGGATTTTTTAAAATTGTTTTATTTATTATTATTTAACAAACAAACTAATGACAATAATCTTCTGTAGCATTTTTAAAGTTGCATCTCAAAGCACTTTTCAGACTAAAATGAAACAGATGCATATGTGACAGAAATATAGAAGATATATAAATATATTCATTGTTGTTTGCTGTTTGTGTGTTTTTGTTTCTAAAGATTCCTCCATGTCAGTGATCAGGATTGCCTGCCCTGTAATCTTGCCTGCAGCTCCTCAGCCTTATCCAGCCATGTCCACCGATTCAGTTGTCTCTAGTACAGCAGTTTCAATCTTCTCCACTACATCAGACACAGTTTCTAGCGCTAACGGTACGTTGTAGCGAGGACATAAACAAGGATGTAAACAACGGGAAATGCTGTTTGGCACTGCTAACATTTCAGCTAAAAATTCTGTGCAAATTCAGTGCAAAAAAATGCAGTGTCTCTCTATGAGGACACTTTCCCGGCATTTTACATCTCAGATAACCAACACTCTAAAAATATGAGAATGTTTCATATGACTCACACATGCTTATTCTGAATATATGTGACAGACACTTGTCAGATGATATTTTAGAGAGCAGGCGTGAGCTTCAGCTGTGTCCTCAGTGTCATTTTCTGTCTGATTTAGGCTCATACTGATACGGCTAACAGCTACTCTGACTGATAGGATTTACACATCGCAAAAGTGCGTGCTTGTAGAGCCGTGACACTTTTCCTGGTGACGTGAAGCCAATCTGCAAATCACAGCACAATACATTAGCTGACCAATCAAAGCCTCTTGAGGACAGGCCTTTCAGAGGAACTAGGATATGACATTTGTCTTCATGTTAGCTAAGTAGCTGTATATAGTCAAAGTCAGATATATAAAAATAAGCTTTTCTACAAATAAAGCATGAGCACACATCGCATTGCATTCTATCAACACAACCAAGCCTTAAAAACACACTCTAGACCCCCCCCTTTAAGGACATCCAGTCAGTCTAGAGGTGTTTGAAACCTCCAGAAAGGTGGGCTCGCATCATCATGGAGGGTTTCACCAGCTCCACTACAGCTCTGTGCTCATGCTGTTTATCCTAATCAACTCAACTCAATTTATTTCTAGAGCACTTTCAACCAACCACAATGGCTACCAAAGTGCTGAACATAAAACACAGAATACAAGCAAACATACAAGAAACTAAATACATCAACTCACAACACACAAGTAAAAATTGAAGAAAATAAGTGTTTCAGTGACCTCTGAAAACACTCAAGAGTTGGAGAAGTTCTTAAGGAGAGTGGAAGATCGGCCCAGAGTCTTCAGCTGTGACTGAAAAAGCTCTATCACCCCACATTTCAAGCGTGATTGTGAAACTGGCAAATAGAGTCGATCCTTAGTGTGAAGAGATCTCACGGGTTGGTGTATATTAATTAGCTCAGAAATATACTCAGGGGCCATGGAGGGATTTAAAAACATAGAGCAGTACTTTGTACTGAATTCTAAACTGGATTGACAGCCAGGGTTCAAATTAAATCAGATGTAGATCTGCCCAGAAAGAAAAACACTAGATGCTGAAATAGGTATAAAACTCTTTCAAAAAGTGTAAAAATAGGAGCATTAATAGAAACATTTACTGTAATATACAATCTGTCCTAGACATTTCTATTTAAATTTAAAGGAGTAATAAATTATAAGTAACTAATAATGTTTAATTGAAGTTAATTTGCTAATTAAAATAAATGGTTAATCAAGACAGATAAAAGAGGCTTAATGTTGATAATATGATTTAAGAGCAATCAATAGGAGAAGATTTTCCAGCTGAAGTTCATATTGTTTGTGGAGATATGTTTTTTTGGATGGTAAATATTTCAAGTATTGGGTTTCTATTGAGTTTATTTTAGGTAACTACCAGAGGAGGGTAGAAACTTGTTTGTACTTGTGTAGGCTGATGACTATCATATATTGTATACACCAGAATGCATAAAGGGTTAAAATTAGGGAGAAGATCTTAGGATGGACACTGTCACAATATGTGGATGATTGAATTATCTACAGCTTCACAAAGATCTAGTTCAATTAAAAGACTTGACTGGAGACCATTGCTCCAAACAGTGAGATATGATGACTGTTTTTGGTGTTGACTGGATAGAGAATTATTCTGTAAACAAGTACAGTTGAGAAACTATGATGAGTAGATGATTGGAGATGGTACCAGAAGCAAATTATGAAGCAGGAACAGTTATTCATTTGTGACGAAAGAAGCACTTCCAAGGATTTGAAACATCAGCAGAAATAAGTTCATAAAAGGTTTGCATTCATAAAGTAATTAAAGTCAAAGTGAATAAGTGATCAATAAATAAAAACATCTAAAGGAGTATGAAAAATTTTGAATAAAGCAAAAGAGAGAGTAATTGTATTATGCTCAATTACCAGAAATGGCTGAAAGAGATGAAGATGATCCATCAAGGCCAACGCTCAATGAAAGATGTGAAAATAATAAACTTAGGGCCTACTCACACTATGCCATCCGTACCGTGCCCAGGCCCGTTTCCCGGATCGTTTGAGAAGTGTGAGTGCGCTGAACCGGGCTCAAGCACGGTTCACTTGGCCGGCCCTGGCCCGGTTGGAAGAGGTGTGCCTGAGCGCGGTACACTTGGGCTTTGGCGCGGTACGCTTGTGTGTGAGCGCGAAACGCGCCAAAGCCCGAAACCGAAAGCGAGACGTGACTTTTAAGGGACTGTTTGATATGGATTTATTAATCATTCTTACTGTTCAGTGATCGCAAACTGCCATAGTTTATTAAAGACGCAAACTCCTCACAGCACCACAGCTGCGCGCCTTCAGCAG